TGGTGGGATTCAGGAATTCAAGAACCTTGAAAACACTGATCTTATGTCTTCTGCACTACTGAAGCTGTCAACAGACTATTAAACAGATATTCTCATACAGACTACTTCTATTTAATTAATTCAGGTGCAATCATGACTCTCTCAGCTTTTCTCTCATTCAAGAGAAAGGGGATTTGCAATGGCTACAACTGAGCTAATCATCAGTCAGCATTTTCAAGTGCATAATTTGCTAACAACATATCGTATACTAAAAGCACGCAAGAAGCAGCAATACTCATTACAAAGAAGGAAGATTTTCAATCTAATTTGTACATATATGCATGCATGGGAAATATGAAATCTCTAAATAACACTTGAAAAGGTTCTTGAGACACAGAGATGTACATCTGCTGTGTTTCCTGCAGGTGCTACTAGCTGAACAAGTAACAGAGCTGTGAACTGTAACAATATTTTAACACATCTGTAAATTAAAATAAACCAAACAAGTTGTGAGATCACAGATAGTAGAGACCAGCTGGAATGAAGGAAAAGCCATTAAAGCTACTCCCATTACTGTAGAGCTGGGATGGCTCACAGTATTTAGGTATTAACAGTTTTATGGGTTCCTATAATTTATTGATGTTGCAAGCATGGCTGAGTGAAAATCAAAAATGTGTTGGCAAACTTCTTTCCTTCTCGTTGAACAATCATTATTAATTGTACAATTTTTGTGAGTTATTAAAGATCAGGCTGGGACTTTTGGTCAAAACTTCAGAGGAAAAAGTGCATCTAATTCACCCTCCTGATATTTAATTCCTGTGTGATCAGGAAGTGAACTTCACCTATTAGAAATAGCTCTTGCAGTATTAAATGATGCAAACGTAGTGAGTTATGAAGTACATCCAATATAAAACAGAACGCTCCTATAAGAGAGCTTTAGAAAGGCTCAGAATACATGAAGGCATTAAGACACAAGCAGAAAAAGACTTGGGTTTCGTGTTTTGCTACCCTGACTGAATGCTCTGACAATTAAGGCTATCAATTATTATACAATGTTTGTCCCTCTAGGATTTTTCTTTCATCATTAATAAAAATTATTAATAAATAATAAAAATCCATCTCCTATCTTCTGAAACAAACAATTACAGTGGTGGTGTTTTGTTTTGTTTTGTTTTGTTTTCTCAGTGAAGAACAACAACAGAAACACAAAAGCTTCAGTGGTTAGATGGGGACTCAGTTGGAAATAATTAGCCAGAGAGAGTGCCTGAACACTTTCCCTATGGTTAGGAAAGAAGAAAGAGGAAAAATGGGCAAAGAATAGGGCAAGATATTACTGTCCATAATTACAGACAATATCTGTAAAATCATAATCAAGGATGAGGCAATTCATTGCACCTAAAACAAGAGTATGAAAGCAAGAGTTAACCTTTATATAATGGTGTCCCAAAATAGCTGTAAAAATATTACTGTTCATCATGATTTCACTGCTTATCACAAAGATGTGCCTCTGCTTACCAGTGCCTAGGCAAAGAACAATACCTACTTCACACGACAGCAAAGAGAAAGAAGCCAGATGCAGAGCCTGATGGAGCATCCCAAGGCACTTATTCACTGTGAAAGCACAGTGCCAAATCACTGCCCTACACCCACACTCCTGCTCCAAGAGAAGGAAGTTGTCACATGCAGCAAAACAGTCCCAAAATTTCAGCTTCAAATTCAAATAACCTTGATTAGGTTACGAGCACAACACAGCACAGTATCCTTGCTTAAGTAGATACTGTAGAACTGTACAACTTCATTAACTGTGTTATTACATTAGAAATTATTCTTCTACAGCTGCTTGGAAGTTAACTGTAGAATGAAAAAGACTGACAGTCTTTCATTATGCATCTTAACCTTACTACTGAGTGGTAACTCAGTAGTTTAAATAAGTGATAAGTAGTACCCCATGGAAAGCTTTACTGGTTGGAGTATGGTACATCCAGTTGTGCAATGTGAATTCCAGATGTGAATTTCTTTAAGAAACTCCATTCTACAAACTGCACATAAAAGCAGACCACATTTAAGGTTGATGCTATTAAGTGAGGAAAAGAAAAAAAGTGTCTGAAATTTCTAGTTTAGCACCTTCCATAACATTTTAGGGCTTTCTTGACCTTATTATTGTTCCAATCGGTAACTGAATTTTGTACATACAGTATCTGCTAACTTACTGCAATGCAGCTCATCACCAGAACACTCTGAAGATGCTGGTAAAACAGCAGTACATAGAGCTTTTCAGAGTGGAACAGATTTGCAGTACTTAAAACAAAAGAAAACAAAACAACAAAAATCTATTAAACCTTTTTCATCTCAAACCCTTCAAGAGACAACGTGATGTTGTTCCATACAAAAGGGAAACTTTTGAGCATGATAAAAAACAAACTGTATTAAGCAAATGCATCTATTTAGCATGTTGCCTTTTTCTTAATTGCACTCAGCAGCTAACTATCCATGACCACTTATTCCACTGTGCACAAATACTGCAGCATATGAAATACCAGTTGATGACAGAATGCAGTTAACCACAGTGTTTACCAGCAGAGTCACTGATTTTTCTTGTCCAAGCAAAAACATAGGAAAAATTCTTATTGGATATCCAGTAGGGTATCACTGGACAGAGTATGTTCAAGACCAAAAAGGCTGCAGATCACTGTTCTTCTCACTCTCTCAGGACACAGCATTTAGGAGAGAAGCAGGAATAACGACACCTTCTGTGTCATTATTTTTCCACCTTTCTCATCTAAGATCCCAAATTCCTAAGAAGCTTGTATTGATTGGGCTGACGTAAGATTTAGATAAAGCAGTATTCCTAAAGAATGTGAAACTCTCAGTCAGCTTACTGTATAACTATTCTATTGCCTTTCCTGGTATTTCTTATTCTACTACTTATCTCTTACGTAGGAATATTGCACAATGCTGGCAAAAATTAAGGTCTACTGCAGATCTAAACAGTGCTCTGCAAACAGCTCCAAGTAACAGTCAATCTCTGTTAGATCAACTGTTATCTAGAACAGAGCAATAAAAGTTGGGACATTTCTGGGGAGTAGGTTGGAAATCAGTCCTTTAGCCTATGCCTAAATTCTACAGCCTATCTGGAAGTCTCAGATAAGGCTTACTTGCAATAGGAAAGTGAACTGATAGGCAGGCAGGCATTTTATTCAGCCATTAAAATTGATGTAGAACAACAAATTCATGTCAAAATTAGCTTAGAAAGGAGCCAAGTTGTAAAACATGCAGTCATTACATCAAACAGCTAAATGTGAGTTTAAGCTCTGTAAGTACAGACTGTACTGTAAGATTTTCAATGCTGAACTCCTTATAATGGCTTTTCTTGGATATCAATCCCAGAAGGAACAATTTGGGGGTTTAAATCAATTGATGAACTACATAAAGTTAATAAAAATTACAAAGTGGAAGAAAAAAATACACAAGAAAAATCTAAATATGGAATCAGAGTCCTCAAGACTCATTCGCGTGAACAGATTTCACACTGTTATTATTTTTTCTTGGTTACTGTTAAATGACACTGCTACCAAGCCAGCTGTGTGCTATTTATAGAGATCAAATAATTATAAAGACATGTTTATGCTACCGCCAGCAGCAACGACATTTTTCCCTTCATTTTCAAGTCAATTCAGTGAGAAAAACATTGTAATAACTTCTTTCTTTCTCATTCTCCTTAACATGATAGGAATAGCTCATTTTCGTTGATTAAGGCCACAGAATATCTGCAAGAATTCTGTCAAAAAACTTCACTATGTACTGAAAAAAATCCTAAATACCAATATCTTCATATTACACTTTCAAGTTAGTAAATGTACACATATTTCTTATTAATACTGTCATTAAGAGAACTTTTCTTTCAACACATTTGGTCCAATGGTATCAACTGTTCTCGAATGACAGCAAAAGGAGAAAGGGATTCATGAGCAGCGGGGGCTGAAATAGCAACAACAGAAGGTGAGAAACTGCAAACTAAAGCTTTGCACCAACTTATAGGCAATCTTACACAGGTTACAAACAATGGAAACAAAAAGTAATACAAGCCAAAGAACTGCCTCCTCTCCTCATCCAAGCTACCCTAGACCACAGAGTGAAGACACAGTTTAGAGCCAGTTTAAGGAAATGGATACCATCTCAGCAAAGCTATCATGGACAGAAATGAGATGTGTGTTACATGTATCTACATAACAAAACGCCTGTCAGTTAGAAATTAATTCTATCATTCTTGGGACACTGTAGCACCCTACCAGTCAGCAATATAAGAATAAGCTGCAGACCTGGCTCTGACAACCTCTGGATATTGATCCTCCAGGTAGCACTCATCAGCCATACATTTACTAAGAGGCTATGTATCTACTCTAAGCCAGCCGTCCCGACTCTCTTGATAACTGATGGGGAAAGATGGTTATCTCATGAAAGCAATTTATCCTAACCTATGATGGATGTCTCAGGTGGAATAAGTTAACAGCCAGAAGTGTCTGTTTCTCTCCACTGAACTAAAGGCAGGAATCAGAGGAGTAACTTAGTCTAGACATATAACTTTTGGATGACTGAGAGTCATGGAAATGAATCCAACCCTATCTCTCTATTTGCCACATCACCAAACACTAGTCTGTGAGAATGAAGTGTATTCATAAGCATTTATTGGACTTGGAACTTGCTTTAAATCCCATACAATGTTAAGAACCACAGTTTTCTCCCAAATCAGACTATTTCCTAGCATTGATATAAAAAGCCTGTGTTCTTGCTGTACAATGCCAATTGCTGACACTCAGTTTCCTACTGAAATGGCTGACTTGAAGCTATAATACAGCAGTAAATCAAACCAGTAGAAGTTCTTAATTATCCAGTTCAAAGCACTGATTAAAAATTTTGTCATGAATGACAAATCTGACCCATCAGTTTTTTAACCAAGGGATATATTTCACACTCGCAGAAAACCTGTGAGGCAAGCAGAAAAAAATAGCAGTGACACCTACTTGTCCAAGAGTGCATTCCATGCCTCCAAGAAAATCTGCTTCCTTCAGCCCATTGTGATTGCTGCTAATGTCATGGACTTCAAATCGCAGCCGCTGCACCTCTTCAAAATAGAAGTCCACCGTGAAAAGCTTGGAGAAGACAGGATTTATACAGGTCCGAATCACTTCTGTCCTGTCAACCTGCAGAATGGAAAAGAGGTTATATGAGTGGCTTCTCTGTCTGCCAGTGATGGACTGCAACGAGCCCTTCAAATGCAGCTTTGCTCAATTATCAGGATTGACAGCTGTGAGCGTAGCCACAGCTACTACAGCCCGTTAGGGCAACCGCTGCTATTCCCGCATGAGGCTGGTCACATAAACAAGGTGAGACCAGCTTCCCTTGCCTCTCCCTTCTAGCACATCTTTGACAGGTTTTGGTAGGAATGTGCAGCAATCTGCAGCCTTCTATACAGGGTGACCAATGACAGACCCCGGTTAGGCTGGTGAGACATTTCTAGGGAACTCACAACAGTAGTTTTTAGCAGAGCAATGTTTCAATACTAAATCAGATGGAAGGAGACAACAGAGAAAGGCTGAGAGAAACCCAGCCAGACAGCCTCATCAGAGTGAAGATTTCACAAAAATACAAAGCAGTGCAGATAATACAACAGACGGTGACAAGTAAATTCACATGAAGCACAACTCAGTTATGATCAGCAGAATTACAACAAAGATGAATCGTTGTTCAGTTGGGAGAAAAGACAAAAGTCTTACAAATGTCATACGGATGTCTGTAAGTTTGAACCTGATCACTACAAGATTTTGTTCACTATGTTGGTTCTGTTTTCTCACTGCAACCATTTAAAAACAAATGAAAATTCTGTGGGCAAATAATCTAATATAATAAAGTTATCATACCTCAGCAAAATAGCCCCCTTTAGCCCAATCACAGTAATTGAAGCAGGACATTTATTTAGTGCAGATCAGACAACTCAAGCTAAGCTATCTCACTCTGGTTTGGGAATTACCTGCTGCACCCTGTCTGCTACTGAGGTATATCAGTAGATGGCCAAATCTTTCCTACTCAAGTCATAATTTGACCACTTAGGAGAATGTATTCATAACCTCAGAAGTAATTAATTTCACTTAATGAAGGTAATAACAAAAATCTCAAATATTTCTTCAGCTCTTTCCCATAGATAGACAATTTTTAACTCAACATATATACACAAAGGACCTCCTGGTAACAACGTTACTCTGCTTACATTTAGCAGAGAGAACATGAGAGATAGTGATATAGACTGGTTCAGCAACAGGAATCAGTATATAAGTTTAAGGACCAACATATTAGTTTAACGAAAGGAATAAATGAGTGCAAGTCAGTGTGTGAACAGCCTTGTTCTTCTCTATGATCCTGCTTCACAGAAGCACTGGAGTCATAATAGACTACTTCTCTCTTTGCATTCATCGGATGCAAGGACTTACACCTCGGAATTCACACATACTGTTTTAGATTATTATTTGGAATATATCACTACACATTTCTACAGATAGAAAGTTACCCATTATGGACTAACAAGCAATTAAAATCTGCCAGACTGAAGAAAAACAACTGGAGGTGAGCCAAAAGTCACTGCGATGAAGCGGGTGATGGAAAAACGAGGGGAAAGTGAGGCCACTACTATTGCATTAGCAGGCATATTGCATTGCAGAACATTAGCATATATTAATGAGTTACTGGGAAAGAACGAATACGTATGCCAATAGACTGCTTATGTATGCCTTAACTGTTTAAATGTTGAACCTGAACTTTGGGAGGGTCCGTTTGATTTGTCAGGTCGCCCAGTAAGTATTGTAAGGAATAAAGGAATGCTGCTTTCTAACATCACACTGCAGTTAGAGAGTTTTCTTCCTGGATTTTGGATGACAACAGTGAGTGTTCTCCCTTTATTGTACCAGAGATATTGTCGGGGCTTCCTCTAAGTGGTCATTACAAAGAATAGAGGCAGACTGGAACAGGATAATTTATTTTGTAATTATCTAGATTAATAATTAGGAAATTAAATATAGAATAATTATAGAATTCATTTCTCTAGCAGTAACAGTCACTCAGAAGGGCAGCAGAGTGATACAGTTCTATTAAACTAAATCAAAAAGTAAGCAAACCCCCCCAGTAATTACTCATTTTGGACAACCTGAATGACAAACGAGTAGAGAACTTGATCCATAACAAACAACTTTCCATAAAAAAAAACATCAATTTTTCCAGCTCACGAAGTTGCATTACAAGAATCTGATGGATTATCTGCTGCTTATCGCTGCCTCCAAGCCTTACAACTGCTGACGAAACAGCACCGAATCTACATTTTTATTTCTTCAAAAAAGTGCTCGCTGAGTACTTGCCAGTTCTCTTCGAAAGTAGTACTTGGATTTCCTATTTTTGATGTGTAAGATATTACTCTGTAAGATATTATGCTGTCAACGTCTGTGTCTCAAAGTTTGCTGGGAACACCGATGGACTTGTTCAAGTCCAGACAAGTCCCGAGCAAGGACCGCGAAAACCTTTGTCTTAAGGAGACAGATGGACAAGTCCAGGCAAGCCCTAGGCAAAGGTGGTGAAATCCTTTGTCCAGGAACGCAGATGGACAAGGCTAGGGGCGACCAGAGCAAGATGAACTGCAGCTGAATAGCTGTGAAGTGCTCCTTTGTGTGGACCTATCTCAGGATGATGGGCCATCTTAGAGGGTACTCAATTACTCTTGCTCAAGGCCCATCCTTGTCGTGTAGGCAGGAGAACAAGGATAAAAGAGGAACTGAAAACCATGAGGAGAGGTTTCTGACAACAGATTCCTCATGAAGAAGAACAGGGGTTTCTGACAAGAGATTCCTCATGACGAACGGAGGTTTTCTGACAACAGATTCCTCATGAAGAACAGAGGTTTCTGACAAGAGATTCCTCATGAAGAAGAACAGAGGGATTCCTGAAGATTGAGGTGATTCCTGCATACTGTCGAACTCTGAGCCTGCTGCCTGACCGCTGTTGCTGCTTCAAGAATTGGCTCCTCGACTTCCTCGTCTACCTGCCTGCTGCTCGAGGCCGGCCACGCTGCTGCTCCCCGTCTTCTGCTGCGTCTGCCCGGGACCTTCAAACACGGTGCAATGGGACCGCTGCTGGATCCTGCTGGTGACTATCCTCGCTTTACGCAACTCCTGCTTCTTTTCCATCTTTTCTATCGTACTTCTTCCCTTCCCCGTCTCCCTGATTAGGTTTTAGTAATAAACTGGATGCTACAACATATGAACCGTTGTTTCTTAATCTCACACCAGGTATACAGATATTAAAAGAACCTCATCTCCCTCCTATAAATTGGAGCGAGACATGATGTAGGCCTTTGCTACTTTTCATTACGATGCATTACTGGTAACACTGAAAGCAATGAAGCAATTTCCTTTTTTCCACTCTCTTTGCTCCTGTACGAAAAAAAAAAAAAAGAAAAAAAAAAAGCTAATAATTCTGTAAGATTAAAAGAACTGATCCTAAAATGGAGGAGGACTTGCGCGTGTCAGTCACTAGACAGGATGTGGCTGGTGTGCCATGGAACAAATTAAATTGCTCTGAGGAAGAGTGATGAGATCCTTTGTCTGATTCCTGATCAGGAACATCTGTTGTGCAAAAAATGACAGCCGCTTGCTTTGCTTTTCAGAGTTTATAATGCATTAGCCTTGCTAGTAGTTATCGGCAAGGACACAAAGAGTCAAGTAAATCAGAAGTAGGAAAAAAAAGTCAGCAGTTCCTAGTAGCAAAGGTTTTAGTGCTCATGAAAATGTCAGATTGACAGCTCTAACAGCTGAAATCCTTTAGTTAATCAAAAAGGTGCTACCAGCCATTGAACAGATGCAAACCAGTGCTACCATGTCTGTCTCCTCACGCAGATGAGTCAGTGTGCTCTGATTATACCAAAGATCATCACTTACAAACTCAAGTCTTAATGTCTTTGTTTAGATCACCTAGAAACGATAATTTCGATAACAGAGACACAAAGCATCATAGGAAAAATTTACATGAGAAAGGATATTAACTATCTTCCTTCAGGTACTTAGACTAAGCATCTTCTTTTGATCTCCTGAGATCATTCCTAAGGGGAAAGTGATTTGATTTCCTTATGGAAGAGCAGTCTTTCATGAAACAGTGTTTAAACAGATTTCATAAGCAAAACATTTAATGATCTATTTTAAACTATTCTGTATAACTGCTGTTATCTCCTAAACTCGTTCCTTGTAGGTGTATAAAATGCTAGTTTAATGGCAACCAAGGCATTTTAATTGTTTTGCCAGCATGGCTTCTCACTTCAGGCAGTGACTGAAGTCCCCCTGTAATTGTTTCTCCTCATCTCTAATATGCTGCTGCTGGAATGTGGGGAAAAGGGATTCCACTGTGAAATGCAGCAACATAAAAACTTACGTTCCATACTGGTTACATACATGACTGTACAACAGAATCAAGTGTCTGAAAACGGGGGCACAGGTCTGCAAACAGTGACAGTAAGAACTTCAGACTCACGCAGAAGTAAGACACTGCTTTTTCCAGCCAGTGACTGACTGACATCCTTCCCTTGGCAGACACCACTGAAATAAAGACATTTCACTGAATTTCCCTAGTTTTCCTGCACTATTGAGATGATACATCAAACCAGCACATCAGAACATCGGATTACAGGAGAAAAACCTACATCAAAAGAATCAATGCCAACAACTCCACAAGCAAAAAAAAAAACTCCTCATGCCTCTCTCAACAACCAGCAGCACACAGCAGCATTAAGCCTCAGTGGTCTGCCTTGTCAACAATATTTTATGGCCACCCACCCCTTCATCTTGCAATTCTAACAGGGTTCTGAGCATGGAAAGTCTAGCTCCATTCCTTTGCTTTGATTATTGTGCAGCAGGACTAAGTACCAATAACCAGCTGGTGTGATTCACAATGGAGAAGTCATGGTGTGCAGATCAACTTCACTGATTCACTAATGCTCCAGTGAGATTTGCTGCTGATCCTGAACATAAATCTAGTTGACAAGATATCCACCAACAGCTGACATCATCCTCATGCCAAAACATAGTAAAGAACAACAACTTCAGACACACTATTAAGTTTCCATTACTTCTGCTGGAGAGAGCCTTTTTCCAACAACAGCACGCTGTACTCA